TACTGTAGCTCTATATATACAGCATTAGGCTCATGGAAGAGAATAATACAATCCCACATCCTTGGGAATCACGCCGCCCCTTCTCTCTCTCTCTTCCAAGGAGTTCTTCTATTTCTTGTGTTCCACTGATACAAGATCTAGAAAGCTGTTTGAGAATACAGTAGAAGATCTTAAGGTATATAGAGATTCCAATCATACATCCAAACCAGAGACCAGAACCAGCAAGTGACCATACCATGACGACCAGGACGACGAGACGGAGAGATCGCCGTCGAGATCGCCGCCGCACGTGCCCACACGCGCCGCCGGGAGTTCGCTGCTGCTGGGAGTCACTCGCGCGCGTGAGAGCGCGTGGAAGGTCCGTTTTTCGATCGGTCAACGCCGTTGACTTCGCCGTGACGTCAGCTTTCTGGATTGGTCAAGTTTGTTCGATTCTGAGAGGATTTGATTTGCGGTCAACTGTTCGGGCCAGCCAGATCTACATAAATTTTAAGAGTAAGTTTTCTTCATCAAACCTTTAGATCCACTGCGCATAGGTTTATGTTGAATGTTTGTCTGTGATTTGTGCATATCGAGATCCTCATGGGTTCCAACACCAGGTCGGTCTACACCCTCGAATAACTAGTCCAATTAATGCATTTATCAAGTCTTACTCGTCTTCTAAAACTACCGGTCCTAGATAGCAATAAGTTCTGCTACCCGAATTCTCCCTTAATTATACTTAATCGAAACAGGCTCTTCAATTAATTCTAACTAGCGAACAACTCGGAATAAGCTCTCCTAATTTAATCCACTAGTTGCATTAGAATCTAGGAAAATAGACCGATCTAAGCCACAAACACACAAACTCGGTTCATGTAATTTATGTTGTGTTATCCCTAACAATGCATGACCGTTAGTTGCTACAAGCGAAATAAGAACTACGACAATTACACGGATCGAAGTCTTAATCTAGCAATTAACATGCCATCCTCAACTTAGGTGATCAAGCTAAATTAAAGAACACATATTATGACATGAAACTAGAATAACACAATCAATTTTATACGACGAGTAAAACAAAATAAAATCACATTAATCAAACATAGTCATCGAGGGTTCAACGTCCCTAGAACCGAATAAATGTTTAGTTACACATAGCTAAATGATAAAAATAAAAAATAAATATCCATCATGTTCTTTAAATAAAATAGCAAAGCAAAATAAAAAAATATAATTCCAACTCCCTTTAGAACAAATAATTTCAATGCTCCAGTAGATAAATTGAGTTTCTCCTCCCAGCCTTCATGCCTCAAGCCCTCTGCATAAAATAGATGTATATTCTTCCCCTTCCAATTGCTCTTTGACACGCAGGATTAGGATGAGAGTCCCATCAAAATCATTCTTCTCAATTCCTTAGCCCCAACAACTTAAGAGTCCATATGCTAGAAATATTCTATCCAGCCGCCACATAAGCTCACCACTCCAGCATGCTTTTAATTATTTCCTAATCCTCTGAACATTGACACGCCCAATCATCAATTCCGGCCACGTCATTGCCTAATTAGCTGCCACATCATTAATATGCATAACAACTGCAAAATAAACACAAAATCCGAATATTGGTGTATGTCTGTTCACAAGATAAAATACGTGAGAAAATTTGAATAATACAATAAAATCGATTACTCAAATATATAAATTAAATCACTAAATAATACAAGATTTCTCACGTATCAAATCTCCCCAAACTTAAACAATTGCTTGTCCCCAAGCAACATAGAACTAGAACCACAGAGAACAGACAAAACAAATATGTACGTGGAATTTTTGCTCAGGTCCTCACACATCTCACATAATGCATAGCTACAACTCCTCAAATTAATAATCCCGGACTCGAAATGAAATCATCTTTAGAACGCCAACAATCAAATATCAATTCAATGAATTACCACAGCTCATCAATCTCTTCACCGAGTATACCAATCATGCAACTAATGATACCCCTTTCTTTGCTAACTAGTTTGGTTCCTATTCGCTTCTAGCCAGAAATCAAAAGTCTCGATTTTCTTTTTTCATTTTCTCTTTTTTTTTTTTTGGGGAACGGCAGCTTCGTCACAGTCCATGATTTTTAGCTATTCGTGCTAGAGTGATGCACTAAAGCTCGCAAACTGGCAGATGTTGCAGCCCACGATCTTTTTATTTTCTTTTTCTTTTTTTTTTCTCTTCAACATCCATTATTTTTTCCTCCATATTCATTATTCACACCATCTCTTTTTTTTTTTTTACTTTCTCTTCTTTTTTTTTCGAGACATTCAATTCCCAACTTTCCACGTCAAGTCAACTCACACAGTCAACATCAAGCAGAATAATCACCAGCACATTTCAAGACTATAAACAGTTCAAGACGACTTACTACGAATAAGACACATAAATGTCAACTATCATGCCTTTGTCCCTCAAATGACAACACCTCAAGATTTTAACCAGAAGTAATAAATCCAAGTCATCATAACTAGCAAATAATTCCAGTAGACTCTCAATTCATCATTGCGAAATTCCACATACGACACACCAAAAACTCAATTAATATTAATTTTTTCTTTTTTTTTTCTTTTCAATACTAAAGAAGCAAAAGCAACCTGAGATGACCCTAACCAAATCAACAGCAACTAGCAAGCAAAATAGACCAAGACAAATTGAAAATAGAACCTAGACATACCCATCAACAAAACCTCCCCAAACTTAATCTCTACTATAAAGCACAATAAGGGAATCGAAATCACCAGATCATCGATGGGTGGTCCTCTTTGCTCGTTGCTGCTGTGAGTCCTCTGCCGCTCCTCGACTAGTCTTTGCACGTCGGGTGCTCAACCGGATCGTCATGTGGGCTGTTATCGGGGAAGGCGGTAGCAGTAGAAAATTCCCTCGACCAGTTACCGGGGGAGGCGGTAGCAGTTCGGTTCTACTCTATCTCGCCATGTTCTTCATTCTCTTCATCGTTTAGCTCAAAAATACGTTCCTACAGCACCTCAAAGTTTGTGTCGCTGCTGTCCTGAAAGAAATTTTCAACCGATAGATAAAATTGAACTAATCAAAATACTAATACTAATAAAAAAAAGAAAAAAATATTGGGTTGCCTCCCAACTAGCGCTTTTTTTTTATTGTCGTTGGCTCGACTTATTACTTCCCCTTTTTTTTCAAGCCATCCATGGCGGATTCAGAGGTGGCCTCAAAGGAGGCACAAACCTTGCATCACCATGCTTCTTCAGGATCCTCTTATCATGTGTCGGCAAAGATTTTAATTCGAGCTTCGGAGCCTGCACAATAGATGAAAATTTTTCAGGTGAGATTTTGATAATTTAGAATTAACATTATACCTAGGAGGAACATGTCTTCTCTCATGCAAATCCATGCCGATCTCCCTCAATTATTTGGCTCGATTGCGAAAATTGCCCTCATCCACTTCTGCTATCAGGGGGTTGATAACACCCAATACTTGATGCGATCGCCACTTCTAATTCACCATCTCGACCATAAGTCTCCATGTACTCCTGTGCTAAAGGGTCAATAACATCAAGCATATAGACAGAGTCATCACCATCATTAGGATATTTCATAGTATCAAAAATATTGAACTTGATGATATGTCCATCAAACTCCATAGTAAGAGTGCCCTGTCGGACATCAATCCTCGTTTGGGCAGTGTTCAAAAATGGTCTTCCCAATAAAATTGGGGTGGAGTTTGAGGATTTATTATCCATGCTCAACACATAAATATCAGCTGGAAATACAAGATCATTTACTTTTACAAGAACATCCTCAACAACGCCGTCGGGAAAAGTGGTACTACGATCGGCGAGTTGGATAACAACCCCAGTTTGTTTCAAAGGACCCAAATTCAGAGAATTAAAAACAGAACAAAGCATAACATTTATCAAAGCACCCAAATCCAACATAGCTCGTTCTATTTTTAAATTCCCGATTATGCAAGGAATAAAGAACATACCTGGGTCACTCCTCTTCTGTGGTAAGCTTTTCTGGAACACAGCTGATACATTCTCGCCCATTATCACCTTTTCGTCCCCTTTCAACCGCTTCTTATGTGTGCACAAGTCTTTCAGAAACTTCGCATATTTCGGAATTTGCTTTATGGCGTCGATGAAGAGAATATTAACCTCAACCTTTCTGAAAACATCCAAAACCTTCTTCTCGGCATCTTCCTTCTGTTTCCTCTTGATTCTAGATGGAAAAGGTAAAGGTTCATCCCATCTCGGCTCGGTTTCGATGCCTTTTTTCTTTAATTTTTCTCCAGCAGGGCGATAACAGCAGAATCTTTAGTATTCTCGCCATCTTCTTTCTCGGCCGCATCTTCTTTCGATGGAATAGGACCTTCAGGGGCTGAGAGCTTCTTCCCACTTCTCAATGTTATGGCGCTGACATTTCTCGGGTTAACCTCCGCTTGGGACGGTAGTTTGGAGTTCACTTACGACTCCAATCGGTTCACGTGATTCGACAATGAAGACATTTGCCCCTCCAAGTTCTTAAGGCTGGACGCCATGCTCTCCATTAGCTTTCTCATATCTGAAGACGATTCATTCGGTGGGGGGTGAGTGTTGTGCTCCCTCGTGCCTTGGTACCTTTGAAAGCCTTGTCCCCTTTGAAAGTTTTGGGGTTGCCTTCGGTCTTGCTCCCCAAACTGGTTGCCGCTATTGTTTCCCCACCTCAAATGCGGATGATCTCGCCACCCTGGATTATAAGTGTTTGAGAATGGGTCGTAGTTGCATCTGGCACCATTGTTTGCCACAACTGCTTTGGCATGGGCTTCAGTAGTATTCACTGTCCATGGACAGTCCTCGGTGGTGTGATTCACCGTCTCGCATAGGCTACATGGTCGGACCCTCGATGCTTGACCCACATCCAACTGACGAACCACGGAGGTTAACTCTTTGAATTGTGCCTGTAACGAGTCGGTCCCTTCTTCTTGAGCCGGCCTCTGCAAGATACCACGAGTACCAAACTGTTGAGAATTAGCTGCCATGTTGGCAATTAACTCTCTTGCCGCCGTAGGAGTTTTGTTCATGAGTGCACCGCCGCTAGCGGCATCTAGCATATTCCTATCCGTGATTGAAAGGCCCTCGTAGAAGTATTGGATCAATAGCTGATCAGCCATCTGATGCTGTGGACAACTCGCGCCTAGCCTCTTAAACCTTTCCCAATACTCGTACAAAGTCTCCCCTTGCATCTGTCGCACCCCACAAATTTCTTTACGTAAAGCGGCTACTCGGATCGCCGGAAAGTACCTCTGGAGAAAGATCTTCTCCAACTGTGTCCATGTAGTGATCGATCCCGAAGGTAAGTAATAGAGCCAATCCTTTGCACCATCCTTAAGAGAAAATGGAAAAGCACGTAGCTTGACTTGCTCCTCAGTCACCTCGGTGGGTTTCATGCTGGAGCACACCGTGTGAAACTCCTTCAGATGTTTGTGTGGGTCCTCACCGACGAGACCATGGAATGATGGCAGCAAATGTATCAGCCCGGACTTCAACTCGAACGTGGTATTATTCATCTCCGGGAAAGTTATGCAAAGAGGTTGGTTTGGAAGTACGGCATCAGCAAGTTGCCTCAAGGTACGCTCCTCGTTCGCCATTAGTGCGTTCTCGATGATTATATGGGTGTCTTCTTGGCTCTGATCACTCCCACTTTCATCCTCTACGTCCTCGCTTTCGATTTTGAATTGGATACCCTTGCCGAAAATCACCTCTTTCTCTTGTTGAGCCTTCTTCCTTAGCTCGGTGTCCCGTCTCGTAATCTCCAAATAATATTCAAAGTCTTCAGCCCTGAAGACCTTGTTTTCATTTACCTGGAAAATAAAAAAAAAAAGTCAGCTCAAACGTGATAAAATTCGAGAATAATTTAACGTAAAAAGCGAACGTATTTTCTGTTATCGCCGGGGGCAATAACAGAGAAACAGCGATTTTTTTTTTCTTCGAACAATGCAACTGAAAAACGAAAATTCACACAAATAAATATATACTAACTAACATAAATAAAATCACTATTTATCTCGCGCCAGTCCCCGGCAACGGCGCCAAAATTTGACCGCGCGTCGCAACGCGGCAAATTTATATTTATAAAATTTTCCTCGACTTACCCCTACCAACAAGTAGTAGTGATGAGCAAGGGTCGATCCCACAGGGAGTGTGGTATAAACCGTGATTTTATTATATTGCATAGGTTTATGTTGAATGTTTGTCTGTGATTTGTGCATATCGAGATCCTCATGGGTTCCAACACCAGGTCGGTCTACACCCTCGAATAACTAGTCCAATTAATGCATTTATCAATTCTTACTCGTCTTCTAAAACTACCGGTCCTAGATAGCAATAAGCTCTGCTACCCGAATTCTCCCTTAATTATACTTAATCGAAACAGGCTTTTCAATTAATTCTAACCAGCAAACAACTCGGAATAAGCTCTCCTAATTTAATCCACTAGTTGCATTAGAATCTAGGAAAATAGACCGATCTAATCCACAAACACACAAGCTCGGTTTATGTAACTTATGTTGTGTTATCCCTAACAATGCACGACTGTTAGTTGCTACAAGCGAAATAAGAACTACGACAATTACACGGATCGAAGCCTTAATCTAGCAATTAACATGCCATCCTCAACTTAGGTGATCAAGCTAAATTAAAGAACACATATTATGACATGAAACTAGAATAACACAATCAATTTTATACGACGAGTAAAACAAAATAAAATCGCATTAATCAAACATAGTCATCGAGGGTTCAACGTCCCTAGAACCGAATAAATGTTTAGCTACACATAGCTAAATGATAAAAACAAAAAATAAATATCCATCATGTTCTTTAAATAAAATAGCAAAGCAAAATAAAAAAAATATAATTCCAATTCCCTTTAGAACAAATAATTTCAATGCTCCAGTAGATAAATTGAGGTTCTCCTCCCAGCCTTCACGCCTCAAGCCCTCTGCATAAGATAGATGTATATTCTTCCCCTTCCAATTGCTCTTTGCCACGCAGGATTAGGATGAGAGTCCCATCAAAATCATTCTTCTCAATTCCTTAGCCCCAACAACTTAAGAGTCCATATGCTAGAAACATTCTATCCAGCCGCCACATAAGCTCACCACTCCAGCATGCTTTTAATTATTTCCTAATCCTCTGAACATTGACACGCCCAATCATCAATTCCGGCCACGTCATTGCCTAATTAGCTGTCACATCGCAGAACAACTGCAAAATAAACACAAAATCTGAATATTGGTGTATGTCCGTTCACAAGATAAAATATGTGAGAAAACTTGAATAATACAATAAAATCAATTATTCAAATATATAAATTAAATCACTAAATAATACAAGATTTCTCACGTATCAGTATCCACGAATAAATCACATAATTCTCCACGAATAAACCAAATAATTCCACGAATAAGTCAAAGATTGCTCCATAAATAATATCTTCACGAGTAAATCAAATATTTCCACGAGCAAATCATATAATTTATCCACGAATAAAACAAGTAATTTCCCATTATTAGCAATTTAAAAATTCCCAAGCTCAATATTTAAATTCACTCTGTACCTTCATCATGAGAATGCTACTTAAATTTACCTCCCCGTCTGCGTTGTATCATTCTGAGTTAATCTTGAGCAGAAAATAGGGCTGTTAGATCAAGTAGGTAGCATTTTGGGCCACTGCTGGGCCGGATTTTCGTATTAGGCTGCACTTCCTGCTGTTGGGACGCATATTGGGTGCTGAAGGGCCGCACTGTTAGGCCTGGGGAATGCTGTAATTCGCGGGCCGCTCATGGGCTGAGGATTGGGCTGCTCGCGGGCCTTGGTTGGACCAAATTCAGGGTTGGGGGCAGCTGGGCCAGACGCGGGCCAAGTCTGGGCCAAGAGCGGGTCTGGCGCGGGCTGGATGCTGGGAGGAATACGGGCCGCGCGGGATGGACTCGGCCTGCGCGCTAGGCAGTTCGGCTGAGGGGATTCGCAGCTGGGCTCCATTGTTGGGCCACTCGTTGGGCCTTGCACTATTGGGTTGTGCAACTGGTTGGACCGCGGATGAACGTCGGGACTCCTAGATGTTTGATCGCCGACACTGGGCCGCGTCACTGGTGGACCTCCTGCGCTTGCTGGGTCGGATGCGGGTTGAGAGCAAGTGGATACTGTAGCTGAGCTGTGAGGAGCGGCCAATTTTTCGCCGAAGTACGACGCTGGAGAAAACTTGGTGACTTCGGCGAACGTTACCGGTAATGAGTGCGCCTCGACAAGGTGGTTACAATGGTGCCCTCGGTTTGGCGTGACTCACATGAAATCGCCGAAAAAATGGAGAAGATGACCGGAGGTTGACCAATTTTTTTTGCTAGATCTAAGAACTTTGACCGGCTAATTGATGGCCTTCCCCGAGGAATTTTTGTTTGAAATTTTGAGGACAGAACAAGCACGAGGAGTGCTTCGCGATGGTGTAAGAATATTTTAGATCGGACAACTTTGGACGGCGGTCGGCGTTGGAGGCGGCGGTGGTTTCCGACAAATATCGGTAACTGGAGATTTGTCTCACCGAGAGGATTCCGGTGGTACCCTCAGATTTTTCATATCCCTCACGGATCACCAAGAAAATACATTTGAATGTCCGATTGTGACCAAACTTTCGATAGATCTAGAAACTTTGACTGCAAAATTGACGGCCTTCCCGGATGAATTTTTGCATGAAATTTTAAGGGTAGATTTACCGCGAAGAGGTCTTCCTGATGATGTAAACCATGCTCTAATCTAGGGCTACAAACGAGCCGAGCCGAGCCGAGTCGAGCATTGGTCTTATCGAGCGGATTGAATTTTTTTTTAGGTGCTCGGGCTCGAGCTCGAGCTCGTCGAGCTCGATTTTTGGTGCTCGAGCTCGACTCGATCAAAACATACAAGAGCTCGAGCTCGACTCGAGCTCGACTCGAATTCATAATGCTCGAGCTCGGCTCGAGTTCGGCTCAAATTTTTTCAAGAAATTTTGTAAAATAACCATTAATTACATATATATATAAGGGTACTTTAGTAATTTCACATATCTCAATCCGCTCGCGAGCCGCTCGACAATGCAATATATGGGCTCGAGCCGCTCGAGCTTGACTCGAGATCGGTCAAACTCGAGCTCGAGTCGAGCTTTGACTCGAGCGCTCGCGAGCGGCTTGCGAGCTGCTCGACTCGTTTGCAGCCCTACTCTAATCAGAGCACGTTTTCCGGCGGCCAGCGGTAGAGGTGGCGGCCGGCGGTGGCAGCGCGTGGCGGCGGCCGGTGGAGGTGAAGGAGCTTGCTGGAAAATTTTCAAATTTTTTCGGTCGGAACTCCGCTTGACTTTTTGAACGAGTCCCACAGACGGCGCCAATAATAGTGAAATAGACTTCACCCAGGCTCTTTCAACTCGAACGACCTCCGTACCTGCAAGAACCCAACGCCGGGAGGAGTCCCAGCGTCGGGCCTCCGATGCCTAAGTCAGTACTCGATCCAATGAGAGAGAGTGTGTAGTAATGAAACAAGAGAGAATGAGTTAATGACATACGTTAGCTTCATTTTATAGGGGAAGTGTACCTTTTTAGCCTAAGTTGGGCTTGACCCATACCATATGTCTTAGCCCATTTACGGACTTATTCTCCAATATATCCTTATTATCCATTAAAGCATGTCTAGTATAATATCCTATATCATATTTAAAAATATTTATTTTTATTTTTGTAGGTATGAATTTTATTAGTTATTAATTTATAAAATATTATAAAAGTGTAATATTTAAAATATAATGAGTGTTTACAAATTACTTGCATGTATTTATATAACTTTTTTTTTTAACAATTCATATGTTGCATATTGCTCGATAACTGGCCAACGTTTAATTTATAAAATTATTTTTTCTCTATAATAAGTCTAATTTCATGAATTACAAACTTATGATAATTAACTTATAATTTTTAGTAACTTTTATCTCTTGGAAACACAAAAATTCATTGTAAAATTTTAATTTTTTTTTGTCTATATTTATTTATTTCATATTTTTACAACATAATAATTTAATTAACAAACAATTTAAGCATTTCGGTATATGATATATTCCAATGACTACGTAATGCTTCAA